ACTCACTCTAATGGTACATCAGTTACATTGTCTTCAAAGGTCAGCTTCGGGTATTTGGTAAAACGAGAAGTCGAATGTCGAAGTCAAATAGGTACATCTTATACATCACAGATTGATTGAAATAAATCCTCCTCAATATATTGAATAAATTTATAGGGCATATTAATTTACAATAGTAAACGCGCACACGCAGCATAACTTTAAATTAGAGATNTGCATAACACTTTTATGATTTGTGTCAAATAATGTCAATTGTCAAATTTGACATTAATTAAAGTGACAGTGACAACCACAGATATGGATTAGAGTAGATATAGATGACCCACGCTGAACTGTCCCGCCAAACTCAATGACAGGGGGGCGCTACCATCGTTCAACTTTATGGTTTCCAACATGGCAAAAATCGGAACCAGCGATTCGGTATTGACGGTGGCGCCCCGCTGTCAATGTCATCGATAGGACAGTTCAGCCCCCCTAGACAAAACGCACTTTTTGATCGAATCGAAAATCGAATCCGTCAAAACTCCATACAAAAAAGGGGCTTTTCGACCACTTTTCGACTGGTTTGCGATTATAATGAGGATCAGTGGGTCTAGACAAAGTGCCATTATAATCGCAAACCAGTCGAAAAGTGGTCGAAAAGCCCCTTTTTTGTATGGAAATTGACGGATTCGATTTTCGATNAATTGTCTAGATCGTCTAGAACGTCCAATTTGCATGTTCTTTAGAAAACGTCAGTCGTACTTCGCGAAGGTATCGGAGAAGTTCTGGTCCTCGAGCTGGTCTTCGAGTATGCAGGTTACGTTCTTCCATCCTTCTTCTTATTGTGTGCTTACTGACATTCACTGAGCTTGCTGTTTGTAAACGCTGGCGTATGTCAAACCTAGTGAGAACCCGATTTCTTGATATTGCAAGCACGATAATCGGATCATCGCGCGCTGAAATACACCTTAATTCCCCACTTCTTGGTCTACTTGTGTAAATGGCGGTCTGGTCATGCCTTTTTAACGTGTATCTTAAGTTTGCACGCCATAAATTGAAAGTTTCAGCCATCTCCCGCTGCATACGCCCTTGACTTCTAAGCAACACTATTTGAGCAACTTGAGCTGGAGTAATAGGCATTATTCTCAAATTATGGAATCGAGAATAACCCTAAGATTAATTTAAAAACAAAAAACAAAACGCCAAACGCCCTTATACAGGGTGTCCCAAAAACAATGGATAACCCTGTAACCATCGATAGGCCTCGCCATGGTCTCCCTAACGTCCAATTTTGACCCCAGTAAAAATATCACCGTTTTCAAGATTTTTTAGTTTTTGTGCATTTCTAGAAAATTGGCACCTGCGATTACTTTTTCTCATGCCATTTCTACAAATGAGGATACTTTTCAATCTAGTTTTTTTCCTTATCACAAGGGATAGTTGGGCTATCAAAAGAAAAGATTAAAGTTCAACAAACTAGTTTAAAAGTATGAAAATTTTAAATAATTGCAGAGAAGAAGGAAAAATTAATTCATTGTCTTGCACGTTCGATCAGCCATCGTGTAAAAAAAATGTAGGAAGACCATCGTGCCCATTGCCTTGAAAACTTCCTTGGTTAATTGAGATTCTGAAAAGGTATCACAAGCTTATGTATTCTGTATTATTTTTATCTTATGGCTACTTGAATAGCAACTAGTATGAAAACTGCAAAAATGAGTTTTTCTCGTAATAGTTAAACTAGGACTGCATAGTGACATCAAATACAAACGGATTATTTTTAGCGTAGGAATTTTAATAAAGCAATATTTTATCATCATCATCATCATCATTTCAGCCATAGGACGTCCACTGCTGAACATAGGCCTGTACCCCAATGATTTTCATAATGACCGCTTGTCCCAAGCGGTTCAGCACCTTCCTGCTTACTTTTATGAGGTCGTCGGTCCACTTTGTAGGTGGACGTCCTACGATGCGCTTTCCGGTACGTAGCCTCCACTTGAACCCTGTTGCCCCATTGGCCGTCCATTCTGCGTTTTTGTGATTACTTATTTTTTGTTTTACACATTATAAATGTGCCTATAGACAGATGCCCGTGATGATACACGGCTCGGAAACGTGGATTTTTTGCACAGCGTGCTATGGAAGGGGCTATGCTCGGGTTTCTTTACGAAACCGTATTAGAAATTAGGAAACCTGTAAACGAACTAAAGTCGCTGACATAGCCCGACGGATCAGCAAGCTGAAGTGGTAAAGGGCAAGGCACAGTAGTTCGCAGAACTGAGGCAGCAGGGTTCAAGTGGAGGCTACGTACCGGAGAGCGCATCGTAGGACGTCCACCTACAAAGTGGACCGACGACCTCATAAAGATAAGCAGGAAGGTGCTGTATACAGGCTGCTACCAAGCGGTCATTATGAAAATCAAATAATTAATTAGAATAAAGTAGCAGTAGAAGAAGTATAAAGTAGCATTGTTTTTAATACATATCCTGCGATGTACTCTTAAGAGTTAAAACCATGGTCCCTGTATGTGGTGCACTCATACCGATCCCAAGGAACCGTACTTACTCATAACAATAAGACACACACTGAGCCCCGATTACGGTAATTTTTAACGTCAACAATCCAGACACGCTTCTCGATTCTGCGATACGATTGGTCGTTCAACAGCGTACGTCAGCTGTTTTGACCAATCATATCGCAGAATCGAGAAGCGTGTCTGGATTGGTGACGTTAAATATTACCGTAATCGGGGCTCTGATGCATGTATTCATGCACGTGACAAATTTATGTCTTGAACGCTGGTAGGGTAACAAAAATAACGAGATTTGACGATTTGTAAGAATTAATTTATTTTACAAAGGTAAATAAAGATGTTTTTGGTTTTGTATTTTAACAAATTATAAGTTTTATCGGAATTAATTAATTATCGAATCGAGTCACACGATATCATTCGATGACTTTGCAAATGCAGTACGATGATACGATTACTTTTACGTTGCGGCAATCACTAAAATTCGCTAAAATGACACTAATGACGTTTAAAAAGTGGCACGCTCGGCTTCATACGATTTTTGACACATGCTGCGCCCCGATTACGGTAACTTTTAACGTCAACAATCCAGACACGCTTCTCGATTCTGCGATACGATTGGTCGTTCAACAGCGTACGTCAGCTGTTTTGACCAATCGTATCGCAGAATCAGAAACGCGTCTGGATTGTAGACGTTATAAAAGTTACCGTAATCGGGGCTCTGATCTGTGACATGCTGCATCTATCCATATGTGGTGACAACCATGAGACGCATTTGCCATTTTCCAAAAATACAGAAAAATATAAAAAAATTGGCTATGGATTTTATTAACCTTTTGAAGGCCACGGACACGGTCTTCTATCGCGTTAATTATCGCCGAGTCCCATAGAGTTATTAACCAACTCTATGCCGAGTCCCCTCCTGTGCGTATTTTGTCTTACACAATCAACAAAAACATGACAACATTCAACAAAATTGTTTACAAAAAAACATTGTTTCACTACACAGTTTTGTTTGCATCAACAATGTTTTGCTTTCCATGCTATATTTCCATGCCCGGTGGAAAACACGTACACGTGTACAGCACAGCTACCCATTTCCGTCTTTTCTCTCGCTCTCATCAAATAGCGATTCTTTCCGTTGCGATAGAACCAGTGGGTCTAGACAAAGTGCCATTATAATCGCAAACCAGTCGAAAAGTGGTCGAAAAGCCCGTTTTTTGTATGGAATTTGACGGATTCGATTTTCGATTCGATCAAAAAGTGCGTTTTGTCTAGGGGGGCAGAGAGCCTGTGGGTCTAGTCAAAATGCCATCGCAAACCAATACGAAGTTTTCACTAATGTCAGTCGCCGCGTCACCAGTAATTCGATTCGATCGGAAAATGGCAGCCAAAATGCACATTGAACCACCAACGACGCGGCGACATAAAAGTTCATTCAAAATCGAATAAAAGTTAAAAAATGTCTATGACTTTGCGATTGTTTTTACTTTTTTTAGCTTTTTTTTTTTAAATTAGCTTCTTCCTTCTTTCTGCTCTCTGTTTACGTCTATGCTTCGCTGTCAAATTAGCTGTCAAAACGACATCGCGATACGGATTGGTCAAAACAGCCTTAGGGTGGGTTGCACCATCTTAGTTTAACTTTGACAAACGTCTAAAATCTGTCAAACTCCATACAAAAAACACCGGTTAACGTCATAGTTACGGTCAAAGTTAGGTGGTGCAACTCACCCTATTGGTTTTCGATATAATCGAAGCTTATCACCGGGGTTTAAGTAATCGCAATGAAAATGGCGGGTGTTGCGATTCGATTCGATTTTGATTGAGTCTTAAATGCATGTTGGCTAAGCCTTTGTATGGGAAATTTCAATCCAGTCTTTCGATTATCGATAGGTAGGGCTTTGCGATTCGATTTTTTGCCGTTTGACTAAGCCTTTTTTGTTATCGACCTCTTTTGCGATTTGTTTGTTTGTTTGCGACTGGTTTGCGATGGGTTTGCGATTTTAAAGTGCGTTTTGACTAGACCCACTGCTCTCTGGATAGAACGTTTATGTACTACTAGCTGACCCCGCGAACTTCGTACCGCCTTAGCGTAGAGATTTTCTTAATATTTTTTTCCGTAAGAACCATCCTTGGACTTCCACAAACATTTAAAAAAAAGAATTATCGAAATCGGTTCAGCCGTTCACACGTGATGCCGTGACAACGCGAAACGGGTTTCATTTTTATATATATAGATACTCTTTGATAGAACGAGACGACTTGAGCGGAAATGGGTAGCTGGAAGTGTGGCCCATAAAGTACATAGTTAAATAATGTTTTGTATAGACAATTTTATTGAATCTTGCATGTTTTTGGTGATTATGTAGGGCAAAACTTTATAACTATTGCTGTCTATAACCGTAGCATTAAATTAATATGTCACTGGGATCTTTTCAGATCTTTGTTTATGGAAACAAAATGGCAATTTTTTGTTGAGAATTTTGACACAAGTCACGAAGTGTGTCAAGGTGAATTGTCAAGTAAAAATAATAATTGTAAAATACCCATTAATATTTCCATTAATCCAATTCCTCGATAAATGTTTTAGACTGTGCGGTTGTAGAAAGTCATGCAAGTGTGTCAATATTATTCGTGTAGAATTTGAGTGTTCCTGAATGAATCCAAACAATGCTAATTCGGACGCTCCCAACGGACACTATTTTCCTCAATAACTAAAAGAATATTAGATAAGTAGCTCATAAGTATAATGAAATGTATTTTTACGGTTGTGTTTTATTATAAGATAGTGTCAATATAGTGTTTACTCTTATTAAAAAATGGGGGACAAGATAAATGAAGAGTACTTTGCACCTGGAAATGCATCCTTCAACTATAACAATGTGGTAAGTTACTGAGTTTTATCCCGTGTTTTTAGTAATATTTTTTAATTTCCAGTTGACCATATTTTACATAAAAATATAATTTTTGTTAAACAGCCAAAAGAGTTATGATTTATGACCATAGGATCATGCAACTGATACACTTTTATTTCTGCCAGCCTGTGGCAGCCAAGGATATTAGAATGTGAAAATATTCATCCATCAAACTATAAAAATCTTTGAGAAGCAGTTTTAGTATGTACTTTGAAATTGATACCACATAATCCTGATTAAAATATGTAACATTGAACACTACAATTGTACATTATATTTTTATAATGAAGGTACTAACAGTATAAATTTACCTTATTTGGGCAATATTTACCCTTATAGGCATTGGTTGAATATGTCATCAAATAGGGCTTGATCAGAGTTAAATCTAATATTTAACCACTTCTTCCCGGCGCCTTAGCATTATTTAGATCTTAAGTCCCAACTAATTCCAAATTCAACATATTTATTACAAAACTGACTTAAAAATTTAAAAACCAACTCTCTCAGATGTAACTTGAATCCATAACACCTCTTTTTGCCTATTTTTTCCACTGAGTAACAAGGAATTTTGAAGCTCGCTTCCAGTATAAAAATTATGTTCAAATTTTAAATCTTGTTTGAAAAATATTTATTGTAGCAAAATACTATTTAGCAAATTCATTGTTTACCACTGTGGCTTTTGCTGTTTGTGTCCGAGTGTATCTTCCAACCATCTGAGAAGCATACTGTTTTGTGTGTTGTTTGAAGTATGTTTACTTTTATTCTTACCATTAATACAGTAGAATCTCGATTATCCGGACTTTATCTGGATTCATTCTTCACGGTTTCTAATTACCGATTTAGGGTCTGAACTCATAAAAACGGAAGGCGCCGCCACCGTAACACGGTACGGACGTCGTCTTAGTTCATTGTTAAAAGATCCCATTGGATGAATCCATTTGACATTATAGACCATTGTCTATAATGTCGATTTTTAGACTAAATGATGTATTGAAAACCCTTTTTGTTAAAAAAATAATTTTTGTTTGATTTTACTTTGAAATCGGTTATCCGGATTTTCGATTATCCGGAACACCCTTGGTTTTAATTGATCCGGATAATCGGGGTTCTACTGTAATTTAAAATTTTAAATAGTGTCTCTTTTATTTTATGTCAAGTCTAGAATCTACTTAGCTTTCTCCTGCTTTTACTGTAGTGAGCATTTCATGAGCAATTTTACTTTCAGTTGGTTTTAGTGACAGTTTGGTGGCTAAGTATTACTTGCTAAAGAGACCTAAATTGTTTGTGATAAAATGAAAAACAAATTAATTAGCTAGCAAGAATTTATAAACTAAAAAAGCATTGGTAGGTAGGTAAAATAATGAATATTATCAATATTTCTTTTATTGTTCACTGTATACAATTTTATAGTGCTGATAAGATTATTTTTATATATTTTTNTCAGAATTCTTACGAATATAACCAAATATTAATTTTATAGTACATGAACTCAATTCCGATATTAATATCGGAATTCCGATATTGAGATCTAATATCGGAATCCAATATCGGAATTGAAAACCTTCCGATATTACATGCCCTAAAATAGACCACTTGTGGATTGATGAATCTGATGAAAATCTAGTATGGAATGGAACTAAAGACATATCAAAATTACGAACATTTATTTTTTTGTTTCACTAATATTATTGCATATTTCTACGCCATAATGCTTCGGCTTGAGGCTCATACTGGCGACGATTTTATTGACCACTTGTATGTGGCCTAAATGTTCAACAGCGATACGCTTCAAACATAGCTGGAGCAGCTAACAGCCTACCAACCTTACTTGACTCAGTAATATGCTTACGGTACAAAGAGTTGACTTCTAACTATAATATGTTTTGTGGCTTAGAACATGGCTGCCTTATCTAGCCCTCAAGTATTGTTAGTTACGGTTCGTTGAATGGCTTGTCCGCGGCTCGTGGTCAGCGCGTTTCTGAACAACGAAGGTACCGCAACACAAGGCTGTTCTATAATAACAGAGTGAAACATTAAATATTCATAGTACAAAAAAATACAGCAGCCAATCAACAAAATTCCTATTTTTTGCTTAAATTATATTTAAAAAGGAAGGACATCAATTAACTGTAATGATTTCAAATGCACCGCGTTTATTAATGTAGTTTTTTTATACAAACGCGGCACTGTTGTCTCACGCCAATAGAATGACACAAGTCCGCATGTCTCCTCGACTCTACATGCAAACGATATTGACATTCACTCCAAGATTCTATATGAATATATGATGAAGGTTTTATGAAAGACACTTCATATTTGAATAACGATTATCGGGCTGTTTCATAAAAAGCGTGGTCAAAAGAATCGAGAGGTTTTCTTCAACAGATTTGTCCTTCAAGTTATCGCTGCAGCGAACACGACGCCATATCAAGCGTTATCAGTTTATCACACTCGCATACAAATGCAACTGCTACTTCCCTTGAAGCCAGCAAGCAAAGTGAAACTCTAGATGCGTGATAGTGTCTCGATTGCGCTGAGGCAGCACCGCGACGCGACGCGTCGGAAATAACGATTATGACATCCTGTCTGGACGACTGTACACCTAACTGTTTGCTGACTGTTGAGATAATCCCTTATTTATACATATTGAATATCTCGCAGTTTGAATTCACCTTGTGAACTCTTTTGCAAATACGTCAACTGCCAATATTGCATATAATGGCATTCATACGAAATAAGTTTAAAAAAAACGATACAATTTAATTTAACCGAGATGCAGAAAACACGAAATATTTTGCTGCCTATTTGTGATCAATTAATTCTTCGATATCTTCGTTTATTCGGTTTAAGAGCGGTTCATTGCGGGAAGTTAAAAGAAATACACCATTGTTCACCATTTTCTATTTTACCAACAGTTGCCTTACCGATGAACAATAATACGTATCTGGATCTCACGGCGAGACAATGCGATGTGGGGCAAGCAGCTGACACAATTTAATTTGCGCGAAGCCCTAACATAGTTGCAAACAGTAGTCTAGCTGGCGCCACCCAGTAAAGGCAACCCTGAAGCAATCTCTTGCAGTTATTGCCTGCTTTGGTTTCACTTTAGTGTCAAACGTTGTGAACCAATAATTATCGCAAGCTGCAATGTCGGCTAGTGCCATGCACATCGTGTGATATGCCTTCCCACTTCTGAACAATGATGATACTGTGTTACATCGCTCAGATAAAGCCTGATTAGGTATTTTTGGGATCTTTGGCTGTTGACAGACTCAGAAGAAATGATTCTGCAGCGAANGCAGCGAATGCTGTATGACATGTCTTATGTCATTACTTAAAGGTCATCCTATCAGGACCGCGAAAGGAATCTTCCGTGTGATGCACTCCACATAACACAGAGTATTCTTATACCCTCTGGTTCTTCTGCGCCTGTCTCTTTTGTGGCGAAGTAAAACGCGCATGTATTAATTAACTTATTTACTCTCACGCTTCCACCTGCAGTGGCGTGACACAATGCGTTGCATTGCATTGATACAATATTGCTGGCCTGTTGACTTTTAACAGCTTATTAATCTTTGAAAACTAATCTCCCAGATATTTTCTTCACCTGTCAAAACTCATCCGGGCCTGCCTTTGGGACAGTGTTCTTCTTGGAATCCGGCTTTAAAGTCGGACATCAACGTGATCATGGTGACTTAAAGAAGCGACAAAAGTCCGTCGATCTCGACGTGGACTTGCCGATTCTAGAAGTTACCAGTTAAATCCCAGTCGTACTGGACTGTTACGGTAAACCCTCCCCTAACACAAGCATTAAAAAATGCTTCTTTCTTGGAGGGTTTAACGAGAATATTGGTAATTCATTTAATTCGTTTGTTCGTTCGTTTCAGCCGAAAGACGTCCACTGCTGGACAAAGGCCTCCCCCAAGGATTTCTACAAAGAATTTATTTAATTAATTGATTAAAAAAGTCGTCTGGTAGATTGAGCCCAATTTAAGAATAAATTATTTTATAGTTTTTCCCCCTCAAAAACCTTTAATCATCTTTTTAGTTTCCTAATTAGCGTTAGATAAAATAATATGTATGTAACAGTATTAGAAACTGATCAAAAACCGATACAAGTAGATTATTAATTAATTGTTAAACAATTACAATTATTACCAGTTTCTCACTATTAACTTTGATATTTTCTCCTCGTTAATACGGTCTTTTTGTGTCGCACAAAAAGGTTGTATGCCTAAGTTCGTTAAGAGTGGAGCTTCGTGGAGTTAACAAGAAAGATAATATATTTTTATAGCTTCAAAGGTCGCATGCCAGGCTGAACTGACAGTCGGTGCCAGGGGCGGCCTGGTGGTTGCGTGAACGCTCCCCTCTATTAAACCAGTTATTTTGGAGCTATACATGCTGACAGTGGAGCATAGCTCTAAACATGCAATGCATCACATTTCGTAACATCGCAACGCATATTTCCATTTATTTATTTATTTATATTAGGGAAACAAACAATTTTGATATACAGACAAATAATCACACAAAAAAATAGGACAGAAATCAGCAAAGTTTCCACAGTTAAAATTAATACAGAGTGCAGACTAAAAATTAATTAAATAGTAATAAATTATACATTAATTTCTAAATGTCAAATAAATACAATGTCAATTTTATAAAATGTCAAACAGTTAAATTTAATAAAAATTATAAAATGTCAAAAAGTTAAATATTAATAAAATTATACATATAAATTAAAAACAATAATTATGTAGGTCAAAATTAAAATCAAGTTATATGTATATTCAAACATTCTCTCAATTGTTTTGAATTTGTAAAAACGCTTGATTCAACTATCGCGCGTGCGTTAATCTTAAATGACTTTTTCTAAAATTCTTTTTTTCTTTCAGCGAGCGTTTTATTAGGCATTTACTGGTGTACTCCCTTTTTAATGGAAATTAACGTATCCATTTTAAATGGAAATT